AGGATTATGCATGTAACTTCTTACAACTCCAACATTTCACCCTCTTGTACTTCACTTTCTACGGTATGATGACCGTTGTTGTTACCAAAAATATAAGTCTTACTCATATTATCGGCTTCTTCTTCTATGGTGTATGGAATCTTTTCTCAGGATTCTACGTTCTACGACCTGTAAGTTCTTGAAACACTCCATGTTTTGTTACATCAAAACTGATTTAGAGTTCAGAAATGACACGTTCGCTGCATTTTTTTTGTTTTCAATAAAAAAAACAACATTATACGATGGTACTATTGGTGTTGTCCTATTTCATGGACCTTATATGTCTTGGTTGCATCACATTTTGAATATCTCCAGAATAAACCTATTGATGATGAACGTTGAACAATTCTTGAGACGCTGCTTCAACTTCAAGCATGATTTTCTTTCAATTGTTGCACCTGTGATTTTCAGGTACACGCATTTGTTTTCGCTATTAAGGCATTCAACTTCAAAATGAGACAAAAAGATGTTACCTGCTAATGATGTATGAGGAAACTACTTCGAGTGAAATGGGTTAACACGTGAAACATTCTCTCCACTGCTAGTCAAATGGGGCAGACATAGTCAGTATAAGGATTTTTTTCTTGAGATCAAGTACAGGCGAGAGATTTTTGAAACTACTGTATATAGATTTGCACTTGAACAACTCTACTTTCTGTTATTGTTATTCTTTGCGAATTCCAAGTATTTTAGTGTAAGAGCTAGTAATTTGTTAATGTTGAATTAAAATGCAGTGGCAAATTCATTTTATGGTTATATATTAGCCTTCTTTTTCTCTATATCAAAAACTTTGGAAGACAATTTTATTCAAAAGACAAACTAACTAATTTGGGTATGGAATATCAATCAACATATGGTCTATGAGTGAATACTCCGTATGCACTGGTGAAGCCATTTTATGCTAAGGGGTGTCAATTATATATACTACATGTTGATTCCCCTTATTCTTTACGCGTGTTGATCATTTTATATTTTGACACTACTTAGTAAGATTTTGACTCCACCATATATAGTGTCTATGGTGGAATGTGCGCCCAATTGTAGCTAGTCATGTCAAGTGAGCGGATTTGGTCCTTTAAGAGCCCAATCAGATACAGTAAGAATAGGCCAGCCTAATCCATCGATTATATAGGGTAGGGCCCAATTTTAGCTAGTCATGTCAACTTAATCTGATTTGATTTGTCAAACACAGTTTTCCATTGGATAAGAAGACGAGAAGCTTGGAATTTCATGGGGTGATACACCAATATACTGGGAATGGTTATTGTATAAATATGACACTTGAACCTAATTCAACCCCAAAATCTAGCTCATGAGGGGGGGGGCGATTGTCCAAGTTCATATAAGGAGACCACTAGTTCATTCCTCATTATCTCATCCAAAATCTAGCTCATGATGGGAGGATTTCCCAAATCCATCTATGGATACCACTAGTCCATTCCTCATTATCTCATCGAGTCTCCGAGCTTAATATTTTCGTGATCCCATTCAACATACTCACATTTTTTTGAAAGATAACTTTTATCAACTTAGAACTTGTACTGGAGTTGTTAGATTCAATGATTCTAAAAATGGCCATTAAATAGAGAAACGAGCTAAAGATTTTAGGTTTTCAAGACGAGGACCTGGAGTGAAACTACCCTTGGAAAGAGGTGATGAATTGAACTAAAAAAAATGGGAAACTATTTCAGTGATACAGGAGATGAAGGAAACGTTAAAGTGAAACTGATGGAGATTCGATGGAAAAGGTGGCCTTATTGTTCAAGGAATTGAGTACCCTCTTGAATGAAGAAGAGAAAGATCCTCCTCTTACTATGTAATGTCTTTTATTTTGGTCTCATTTGTATTGATTCAAATACTTCTTTATATGGCCCTTCTCGAGGAATATATCGAGAGAGAATTATACTTGGTGTAGATAATGTGTTGAATGTAAGACGGATCCAGGATTTGAAGTGTATAGATTCCTACAATAACCTCATGTTAATATATAATTATGATTGAATTATAGATTTTACCATCTGGATGCGCCATTGTTGCCAGGGCTTTTTAAAAAAAATAAACAACTCAATGATAGATTAAAGGTTATTATAGACAAATTAGTTTGAGCTCGAGCTAAGTGTAATAACTCTAAAGGTCATTTTTGAAAATTTCTAGAAAATTGCCATTTCTCCTCTTTATAGTTGCCCCAGTTGTATTTTAGCAGTTTTTAAGGTTAGATTGGTAATCAAATTGTAAAAATGAATTCATTTTGGGAAGTTATGGAGTTTTGAAGCTTATAAGTTCAAACAGTTGATTTTAGTCAATATTTGGAGTTTCGAGTCTTGGAATGAAATTCCGTCAGTACCATCAGCTCTAGGACATGACTTATGGGTTAGTATGACTATTGGCTCATGTTCAGAGGTATTTAGATAAGTTTTGAAAGATTTTTTGTGTTTTAAAAGTTAAAAGCATAAGATAGTTTATCAAAGTGAACATAAAATTTCGACATTTTTGTTAGCTAGTTGAAGGTTTGGTTCGATTCCTGAAGCTGTTGGATGAGTTTCATGTCCTTATTTGAAAATTTGGAGATTCATATGTTAAAATTGACTTTGGTCAGCATCGTGTTGAGGTGACCTTGTTTTGGTGTTTTCATGATTTCATTGAGTCTGAAATATCATTTCCAAGCTAGTAGTATATTTGGTTTGTGTTCGGGAGGTTCCCGATGAGTAATATGTGAGTTTCTAAGTTTTATGGGTGCTTTGATGGTGTTTGACCAATGTCAATCAAAAGGCTCGTAATTAATTTTAAAGATTACAAAATTTAGTCTAAAACTTTTTAAAGTTTAAGAATGAATTAGAGGATTGATCTGCAAAGTTTGGTGCATATTCACTAAGCCAATATCGTACTTCTATCGTGATATATAAAAAATTATATACCCAACAAAAATGATATTTAACTAGGCAAGCAAACACAAAATTGAGTTTTGATTGAGCAAGCAAGTGCATATCATTATTTAAGACATTTGGCTAAATGAATCGGCTCATTTCTCTATCATACAAAGAAGTTACGGCTCTTTTAATGAAAATTTAAGTTGTTGGTTTCTGGTGTAAGTTTTGTTGTTAATGTATTTAAACTTTCGGACCATATTCATTTGGTATTTTGAGCATATCGGGAGCTCTAGAGCTTGGAATGGAGGGATTCTTATCGTATTCTTCTCAATCTAATATGGGGGTTGATATCCCATCCTCTTTTCGGCCTCTCATGATTTCTTCATCCAGTTTCTTACCTTATTCATGTATTTCTTGGGGTGGGTGGGGTTTTTATCAATTTGGGCTCAATATTTTTTTGACAAATATATATTTAGGATCCTTATGTTGCGGATAAACTAATTTTGGCATAAACTTGTTGATTCTTCAATTATTTTCATCATATTAACCGAGTATGAGCTTGAGAAATTAGGGTTTTCCCGGTAAATTTGAAGTTCAATAAATTGAGGAATTTGAAGGTTGATTTTAACTCCATTGTTTATCAAACTTCATATGAACTTCCTAATCACGGGTAAGATATTTTAGATTTGAATTGGGGTCTCAACCCGAATTTTTAGGGATTTAGTCATGAACTTTAATATTGTGTTTTGGGATTTTGAGGATGATTTCTAACTCATTTTCAAAGAAACTTCGTGTATGCATTCCTAAATCTTTGGGTATCATGTTTTTCTATTAAAAAAATCAGATTTACCCTTAGCTTTCGGGGATGACTTTTTTGGTCAATTTTGACCAAGTTTCCAAATGGTAAATGATAATGGTTTCGGCAAGTGATATTTATGCCAATGAAAAATGATTCTGGTGATTCATATTTATACCGATGAGAATGGTTTTGGTGAGTGACATTTGTGCTGATGGAAAATGGTTTCGGCGGATGCATGGACCATACGTCCCTCATGGGTCCTAACCGGTGAATGTTTCAATGCATGGGCATAATGCCCTCCATGTGTCGCATTATGTTTGTGCAATTGGTGTGTATTAACAGGACATGCATGTATTACATTATAAAACATTTTCATTGCACCACATTCGCACTTCATTATCATTCATGGAATTTATGAGTGAGTTGTTATGTTCGTGGGTATTTGGATATGACATGTGTGATGTTGATGTTATAGAGATTATGATATGTGTACTATGATGGATATTTTCATTGTGTTGTTCTCTTATATATAAATTGTTGGGATGGGGGTGGTCTGATTTCTATGCAGGTTGTAGTATGAGGAGGTTCGGATGGTGTGTTGGAGTACTTGTGTTCAGTATGCTTTACTTAGATTAGCTAGGGATGCTTGTTAATTACCATTGTTGTTTGGTACTCAATCCCTTGTTTTCTACACTTGTGTAGGTTACAAGTCTGATTCGTTTTGATACCCCTTCTCATCTTCATCCAAGGTTTTTCTTTTGGAGTTCGTGAGATAGTTGCTTGTCATCCTAGAAGAATCACTTACTCTTTCATTATTTCCTTCTTCTATTCTAGAAACGGAGACATTCACACTTGTGTTTCTTTTGAATCTATTGTAATACTTAGAGACATGTACATGTAACACATGGTTTTGGGGCATTTGAGTTATATTATGTTTTTTCACATGTGCATGTATTGTCTAGTCCTTTATTTTGTCATTAATTACTTCCGCATTTACCTTAAAGAAGTTAGTCGAACCTGCCTTAGAGGTATAAAACAGGTGTCATCACACCCAGTATAAGAGTGCACCGGTTTTACATACTCAAAGGACTGTTAGTGTACAAAAGTATATGTATAAGGGATAATTTTGTATGGAAGGCCAAACTTGAGGAACTATTTTGGACCTTTTCTCATATTAATTGTTAAATAGTTTCATTTCTATTCTTTAATTTTATTTAAACATCATATGTATTGTCAGAATCTTGTAATCTTTATTTTATTTCTATATAAATAGTATCGAAACTCAACAACTTTAATCCATTGAGTTTTTTCCGATGGATCATTTGCCTGAAGGTTGCGTATCAAAAATTCTCTCTCTAACATCGCCGAAAGATGCAGCTAGGTCTTCAGCTGTCGCGAAAAAATTCATGTCAGCCGCAGAATGTGACAACGTCTGGGAGGCTTTTATTCCATCTGATTATCTACAAGCTATTTCTAGATCAGGAAATTTGATGGGGTTTCCTTCCAAAAAGCAACTCTACTTCAGTCTCTGCGACACTTCGATTCTCCTCGATGGAGGAAAATTGGTATGTGTTCTTAATTTCCCCCCTTTTTTGTGTTTAAGTTGCTTTTCATGAATTTGGCTTTTATTAAATCTAATTTAGTGGTAGGAACACAATGTCAGGAGCTTGAACACTAGATCTATAACCCGTGACAGAGCCACTTTTGTCTGAGGGGTGTGAATTTATACCCAATAGTTGGAAAATTACACCATGTACATAGATAAAAAAAAAGTGTGCATATACACAATGTGTCGAATTTCCTTGGTTTATTTCATAATTTTTCCTCTTCATATTTTGAATTCTCTTATGGCCTGATTGGAAAGTCACCCTGGTAACTGAATTGCTGTAATTACATTGTCTAGCATGTTTGGTTGGCAAGTAATTTGGTTTAATTGGCAGGGGTAGTCATATTATCACGTCTCAAGCCGAGACCTTGGACGTGGCACACACCCGATACTATTTCTAGTTGTCACGACTCAAGGTAACCCTAGTTGTAACAAGGCACATAGAACCCCGAAAGGGCTTCATGTGGGACACTTAGCATACCATAATATAAAGTACTAGAATAATAAAGAGTAAACACATTTCTAGTTTTCATTAAAGAAAGCAGAAGTCTAGACTCGTCTCAATGTAACCATCTATTACAATACTTGAATGAAATTAGGTATAGTCCATACAACATGACCGAAAAGGGAAAGTACATGAAGAAACTACAACATAGGAAAAAGTCGTCCTCGGACCATGAGGACTCACCAACAAGCTAGGGAAGATACACAAGTCCAAGCTCTAGCCACTAGAATGATCACCTCGTGAACCGGAATCTAAACTTGGGGAAAACATAGGAAAAGCAGAGGTTAGTACAAAAATGCATTAAGTATGATACCCATACATAAAAACTTTTAAAACATGCTAAAAGGGACATTTCATTATAAATCATGATATATGCCATGTTTGGACATCATATAAGATAGTAGAAGTCATAAATCATAAACATAGTCAAAACATTTTATAACATAAGAGAAACACTTCATAATTCCCCTCAAGGCATATTTGTGCAATGCATGAATAGGACCCTATAAATCTCACCATGCTAAGTAAACTTCTTTAGGCCATCATTCATGTCCGTCATCTTTTAAAACTCTTAATTACTATGAGGTACTTCTCAAGAACATCTTAGTTCCTCTTTTCATTGAACACTTAGATATACTTCTTTAAGAACATCTTAGTTCATTATTATCTTAAATACTTTGAGATGCTTCTTCAAGCATGTCTTAGTTCATTATTTATCTTGAACATTTTGAGATGCTTTTGAAGCATGTCCTAGTTCATTTGTTATTTTGAACACTTTGAGATGCTTATTCAAGCATGTCTTAGTTCATTATTAATCTTTTTGTAGTTGGGACATAGCCTTAACCGATATGAGATTATGTGCGCTATCACATGATCCCTCTCGGTGTTACCCTCACCGACGAGGGTTAGTCTACTTGCCTAAGATAGAACCCGTAAATTAGCTTAGTTGGATCCAATAGCTAAACATCATTACTGGACATGTAGTTAAGGAATACAGAGATTGCTAGTAGAAACTCAGACCCCACTAGGTGAAGGATTCCATCTCATGAGAAGCACTTTGAGAAACTCGGACTCTACTAGGTGAGAGTTCCCATTTCGGAAGCCCAGACTCAACTATGTGTGAGCCTCCATATCATTTCAATATCCACTCGGTGCTAAGCATAAATCCCACAAGATAGTCATTAACTCTTTACTTAACTCAAGTCTCATGGAAAGATAACCTTAACAATTAATCCAAGTTAATTCGTTAGAATAGATCCTTAGACCATGCGTGAGAACCTATCACCATCCATGATCACTTTTACTCTTAGATTCAATTATTTGAGAAAAGTCTCTCAATCTTATAATCTTCGTGATGTGAGAAAACCTTTCACATTAAGGTTGTGCTTGGTATAAAGGAAAATGTTTTTTTAGAAAACAAGTGGATATTGACTTATTTTCTCATGATTGGTTGATGAGTAGAAAATATTTTTTCAAAAAATAGTTTACTGTTTGATTCTTGAATGAAAAATGTTTTGGGGAATATCTTTTATTTTTTACTAGAGTAGAAAATAATTTTTGAAGTTGAATTTTTTTAAAACGAAACAAACTCAAAAAAAATCGTGGTGGGGATGCGGGTGGGGGTTCGAGGGTAGGGGTGAAAAAATTAAAGTTTGAGATTGAATTTCTAAAAAAAAATAATATTAATTTATTTTTTTGAGGGGGGAAGCTAGTAGGGGTGGGTACGTGGGTGGGTGGGGGTGGGTTGGGGCTTGTAGGGTGGGGTGGGTAGGGGGAGGTTGAAAGAGAGTTTTGGAAAATGTTTTCCTTAAGTATTTAAGGGAAGTGATTTTCCTTAAATTTGAGGAAAATGAGTTGATTTTGAAAACATTTTCCAAAATATTTGACTGAACCAAGCATTAGAAAATTGGAAAACATTTTCCAAAAAATGTTCTCCTTCATACCAAACACAATCCAAGTTCATTATGAGATCATGAGAATAGCATTTCAACTATCCCACAACAACAACTTAATCATAATGAATAACACACCACTCTCAAAGCATCATTAAAGTACTCATATAAACTTCATAATCTCATATTTTACCTCCTTGAGGTTAAACCATACTTTCAATCAACACATCTAGATTCAAGCATTTGGCATGGATTAAATCATAATTTCATGTGAACCTATCACCTCATACATTAATTTATACAATTTACCTTTCATCATCAAAGACCCACATCATATCATCAACTTTGAGAAATATGGGGATTTCATGGGTTTTGGGGGGATTTATCATAAAAACATAAGGAAATTATCACTTCATACATAATATGACATAATTTAAACATTAAAATTATTTTTGAAAGGAATCCATGTCTTTGGAATTAAACCCTAACTTTTGAGGATTTCTATCTTTGAAATAGGGGGGGGGGGTATGAAGGGACTTCATGGATGAAGAACTATCATAACTTGATCAAAAAGCCCTATAAATTTGGTGTGAAGAACCTTCCTCCTTGGACCCCATCTTCTCTCCTTCTTCTTCTTTCAACTCTCTAGAGAGAGAATTTTTTGAAAGGATGAACTTTTGGAAATATAATTTGGGAATTTATGACTTAAAAGGTGAGTTTAAAGGGTTTAAAAACACTTGCAAAGGTGTATAAAACTAAGGCAAAATCACCTCACTTAATACCACTTAAAAGAAATTACCCAAAATAACCCCCACTTTAAGTGGGGTGCCCATGCCTCACGGCCAACCTCACGAGTCGTCAAGAACACCACGGGCCTTGGAGGTGCACATGGTCCCTTGGCCAGTAGCTTGGCCACCTCAACAGGACCCTCACAAATTAAAGTGAAGTCAACCCTGAGCCTTAATTCCCGCGACCCGTGGTATTCACCATTGTCCGTGAAGTTGCTCATGAAGGTGAGCCAACCTTGGGGCAGCCTTGGTGAGCTACTGCCTCAGCACCACAGGTGGAACCACGAGTCTTGGTGGACACCACGAGCCGTGAAGGCTCTCATGGTCATGGGCAGTGCCTTGGCAGCTTGGGGCAGCCTTGGCTCTTGGCCCTTTCCCTTGGCTCATGCCGTCTAGTCTTGACTCGTAGCCCTCAAACTTAGTCCTATTTGGCCTACTAAATTATGGGGTTTTACACTAGTATGAGCGAACATTCTGGCATTTGACATGAGCATAAAACTGGGAAAAAAACTGAACAAAGCGGAAGACAATATGAAGATAACCACAACCCGTTAAAAGAGGAAAGTCTTCATCACAATACATTTAGACTACATAAATGTATTAAATTAGAAGTTATAAACCCATCTTATGGAAAGCAAGATCGATTATTTGACATCTGAAAAAAATCTGTGAAGCCTCCACTAAATGATATAAATCTGTTGGGACAAGGCCCCGATAAAATAAACATAAAAAAACTAATTTCTAACTTGCCACTAGTGGGAAGGAGGCTCACCAATAGCAAAAGAGAGGGATGCTAGTGATGTGCCTGGTCACCAACCTGAGAGCCTAAACCTACATCATAAAATGTAGTGCCAAAGACGATCAATATATGGAATACATTGGTATGAAAAACTAAAAAAAAGTAAAGCAATAAAATACAGTAAGACAAGTTGAATTTGTTAATGTAAAGTGAGTTAAATTTCTTAGTAAATTTTGGGAGAAAGTTGTGAACCGACATAAACCACCATGTGAGTGCAAGGAGTCTAATCTCGGCCCAATCAACTAAGACATCCATACCTCGCTAGCTGGGCATAGGACATGACATGACATGATTTGCTAGCAAGGATAATTATCCTTTTTGGGACACATGAATAAAAATTAGACTTATCCGTTTTACGGAAGGATCTCTATCCTATGTTGGCAAACGTAGTTTCATACATTGGTCATTTAAACTTATGCCTTCTCGGTCAGCCAGCTAACTCCCTTAAGCTCATATTGAAAGATAATTATTTTACTGATCATTTACCTATTTTGTTTTAGCCTAATCGGTCCATGTACACGTTCGTGCTTGAGCCTTATTAGGCTCATATCATAGGTTTGTCACTTTAGGGCTCATTTCAAAGATTCAACCATGCTACACTCATAATCTATGATCTAATATTTTTAATTAGCATTTTGGAGAATCAAAATAGTAGAATCTTGGTACACTACTTCAATATCTCTAGTTTCAGCTACGTTAACATTTTGTGACACGAAAAAGCAAATTGAGATGGTTTTAGCAACGTTCACCATTCATATCAAGTAGTTGGAGTTTTCAGTGTGATTCCTTGGCAAACAATTTAGACTCAAACATTATAGTTCACATGATATAAAGCAGAAAACTAATCACAAAGGTCATAAGCAAAACAATAGTGAAGACATATACTCCATATGTTTGTTGATTAATATATTTTTAAGAGTCAATATATATCTTAAACATTTAATTTTATATTATTTATAAAGTCCTTATTGTCGAATATAGATTTTTAATTTTAGATAATTAAATTTTATTTTTAAAATTTAATATACGGTTATGATTACACTTGTGCAACCAAACATGATGTTGATGTCAAACAAACAAGTAAACATATAAGTTGTGTAATTACTAGGCTGGTAATTACACCAATTCAAATTATAAGATGTCTTTTTAATCAGACCCTTAGTGAAAATTATAATTCCATCGACTAGATATGAGAAGGAGCGTGATCTTATTTACTGATGAATGAGGAATCAAATGTGTGTTGGATCTTTCCAAGGTTTTTAAATTAGTTTTGGATGCGTTATTGTAGTTGTTAGATGGGCTGAATCTGGGCAACCTTTGAGGTAGCTAGTCATGCCAACCTTTACAACCTTTTTCTTTTTCTCAAATCCTAATGTTTGTATATGCGATTTGATCTGTGAAATAGAGCCTTTCGGTGGATAAGAACACGGGGGGTAAATGTCTTATGATCGCAGCACGAAAGCTTGGAATTATATGGGGTGGTACACCAGCATATTGGGAATGGTTGTCTCACCCGGATGCCAGGTTTTATACCTTTTCCGGTTTCTTTCCATGTACTCTGAATTTTGAAAAAGTTACTTTACTAAATATATTTACTGAGGGTATGTAAATTTTTTTTGTAGATTCTCTGAAGTAGCTAAACTTAAGAGCATCAGTTGGCTTGATATCCGAGGAAAAATTGGAACTCGGATGCTCTCAAAAAGAACCAGTTATTGCGCTTATCTGGTGTTCAAGCTGGAAGATCGGTTTTATGGCCTTACAAATGTCAAGGCAGTTGTTAGATTTGCTGATAGAGAGAGTGACCATGATGTAAGGGAACGAGCTAAAGTTGTTCATTTTTCTGGAGAAGGCTCTGGAGCAACGCTACCCTTGATTAGAAGTGATGGATGGATGGAATTGAAAATGGGAAACTTTTTCAATGATAGGGGAGAAGATGGAGCTGTTGAAGCACGATTGATGCAAACAAGGCAAACTTGGAAACACGGCCTCATTGTACAAGGAATTGAATTTCGTCCAGAATGAAGAAGAAAAGGATCCTCCTCTATGCCTTTCATTTTGGTCTTTTTTAGACTCATTTGCCTTTGAATATTTCTTATATGGTATTTCCTGAGGAACTTATCGAGAGAGAACTGTATTTGGTTAGATAATGTGTGAATGATAAACAAGAATTAGATTTTTTTTTTCTTAAATTTCTGGATGATTATGAAGATACTATGTCGAGATATGTTTCCCCGCCAGCTTGCTTCTCTGAAAAGGAGCTTTAATTTAGTCTTTGTGACTCTTATGTTGTAATTGATGGAGTTAACTAATATGCATTCCATTCCAATCTACACATGTTTTGAAACTTTGTCAAACATATTTTATGGTATGGAATGGGGCCTAAAACACAATCACACGCAGAGGCGCGAGTAAGGGGTTGAAGCTTAGTGCTTGTTGAGTTACTCATATTCGAAATAAATAATTTGTTTGTATCAGTTTATTATTACATAATAAACCTAGAAAGGTAAAACAAATGTGAGATGGTTTGGTCATGTTCTACATTGACATCCAGATGCTTAACCAGTTAGGTAAAATCTTATCTTATATCACATATGATGTTTACACCAAATTGCCTAGTTTAGCATGGTTAAATCATAAATTTATTTAAATGTGCATTTTATGAAACCATAGCGAATAGAGATGTTATAAAGTAACAAGGTAAACCTAAAATTACAATGAAGTTGTCTTGAGACCTACAGATCTAGCGGAAAGAAAGACACAATAATGGAAGAAAAAAATTCTATATAAGCGATAAAGTTATTTGAGAACTTAAGAACACAATTCATTCTGATTATACGTTTACTTAGGTCCAACGTTTTCTAGGAGATTTTTCCAATCACACGTTTATATGTGGCATGCCTAAATAGAAAATTTCCTCATACTTCTTATTTTCATTTTTATATAATATTTGGTCGCAATAGACTTGACTGAAGTTTAGATAAGTTTGACTTTTTAAATTAGTTAATCAACAACTAAAAGAATGTAGAAGGGCCTAAAATGCCATTCAACCAATTGTTAACGAAAACAAATAGAACGGAGTTTGAACAAGCTAAGTATAAGGAGGACCTTAGGAGTGTGTGAGTAATCGAACACTATTTTCGCTTAATGGATAATTATTGATTTCTTTAAGTCAGTTGAATTCCAATGGTTAGGATGGGTTTTAAATGTGACAACTATCTTTCAATCAACTATTACACTTCGAGTGAGTTCCTTCGAACCTCAATAAGCTTTACAATACAAAACAACCCAATTCCTTAATTTAACCCACTTTGCCAAGTTGGGTTGTAAAGACATAAGTCAATACAATTATCAATCATTTATTCTACTCTTTGCAACTTCTGCAAGCAAACATTGAGAGCTAAATCTAGAACTACATTTGCCACTTTAGTTCATAAATGAAAACTTCAATACATGACTGAACCCATTTCAAAACAACATTAAGAGCCTGTTTGGCGCAGCTTAAAAGCTGATCAAACTGACTTAAAAACTGGTTTTTGACTAATTTAGTTATTTGGCAATACTCAAAACAACTTATTTTAAGTTTTAAAAAAAAACATATTTTAAGCCAAAAGTTAAAAGCTGGGGTAGGGGTGCTATTTTTTTCAAGCTTATAAGCTGTTTTAAGTTGACCACATTATTGCCTTTTTGCCCTTAATATTTTTATACAATCTCCAAATTACCCACATAACCCTAACATCTCTTTCTTCTATTTTTCCCTTTTCACGTGTGGATGATAGACAATTACTATTACTAATGAATGAAAATAAAATAAATCTTAAATCTTTCAAGTGATCTATTCAAATTATCTATTATTAAAATGTAAAATAAGTTGCACATATAACTTCAATAAAAATTTATATTCCTCTTATAAATAATTTGTGATAATAAAGAAATATGTGAATGCTAGACAATTATTATTACCTATGGATGAAACTAAAATAAAATCTTAAATCGTTCTTTAATCTATTCAAATTATATATCTTTAAAATCTATAATAATTTTATATTCCTCTTATAAATAATTTGTGATGAGAAAGAAATATGTGAATGATAGCAAAATATAATTATTTCTGGTTGTAAAATATAAATTAATTAACTTTTATCATGTTAACAGTTTTTAAGAGTATTTCAGACATTTTGATTTAAAAAGCTGTTTATCAGCACTTATTTGCCAAACACATCAACAACTTTTTTTTTTAACTTCAGCACTTTTATCCAAACGCATAACTGCTTATTTTAAAAATAAGTTTCAGCCCTTTCAAAAGTACTTTTTTAAAGCTGCTTTTATTAAGCTCATCCAAACGGGCCCTAAATATAGCAAATAACAATATCCATAATCTAATTTATGTATTTGATTACATAGTCACACCCCTAAGACGAGGGGGTTTAGCCACACATAACAAAAAGAAAAAGATAGTTACCAAAAAGATGTTCCATCGAAATGAAAAAATCTCCAATGTTCAGTGCCAAAAGTCTTAAGATCGCAATATCCAAGCTCAAAAGCCTTTACAAATATGTTCAATGTCGTCAAAGTATGTAAAAATCTCTCCAAAACTTTGTAAGACCCTTTTCTCTATCTTCAAAAATCAATTTATATATTTCCAGAAACTTCTCAAAGTTTGATTTCGTGCTTCACTCGGCGAAGTTAGTCGGGATCCGCCGACAAGCACTTCTTCTCCACTTGTGGCTTTACTTTTGCACCAAGTGTTCTGTTCATTTTGACGATCTGCGTCTGGTTCACCGTTCCATTAGGTACGTCACCGATGTGCTCCCTCAATCATCGAGCTGGCTTAGTTCATGAGTCAATTCACTAGACTTTTTGGTGAGTAACCAGGTGGTTTTTGCGAGCTCTAACCTTTTTTTTCTTTAGTTTTTCCAACTTTTTTTGCTTCTTTTCGCATTGTAATGTCCTTGCCTTGTTCTTAAGCCTTCATTGTTGTACATAAACAAATTAACATAAGTTGTAAACACAAAATAAGTACTGAGAACACTAATTCATTCAATAACAAGCACTAAATTAGTAAAATTTCCCGACTCGTCACTTGGCTTAAAAACAAAATAAGTATTGAGAACACTAATTCATTCATAGGATTGACTATATTTTCCAACCAACCCATCACTTGGCTTATACAAGATCAAAAAAGTCTTTCAAGGCTTGTAATTGGGCTGAGGGAAAGGTATGATCATTTCGCATTAGTGACTCTACCTTCGTGAAGCATGGCTCAAGTTTCACTTCTTTTACTTCTCTTTCATTCTTTTTAAATTCACAACTCGTCCTTGGCATACTCTTAGCATACAGTTTTTGGTATAGCTCATTGGACACCGCTTTTACTTCCCCAATACACAACGAATAATTTCTCTTTCCATTTTTTTAATATGGAGGAGTTCAATCTTTTTCTTCACCGCATGTTCCCAAGCACAAATTTCACAAACTTTTTGCTTGGTTTCTCTTCATTCTTACCACATCCAAACAAACCAATGCTTCACGAAGGTTATAGGTGGAAATTACATGGTAGTTTCAACAACCGATCTAAACATTTGTGCTCATATTTCATCCAAAGAAAGGTTTATGCTCAAATGGTGCAAGCTAGGTCCACACATTCACAACGTAGTCACACAAAGGTACAGTGATTGGGTTCCCTCTCCAGAATTCATGCATAAGATTGTTTCCTTCATTCACCAAAGACAGTTAGTTGGACTAACGGAGAAAGTTTGAGGTATCATCATGCACTCATTTCAAGTAAACCTCACCACACATGACACTCAACACAATCATCGTCACGACTCCAAAAGTTAAGCTCGTGTGCAACGGTTATTGCAAGACTCAACTTGACATTCGACTAGTCACAATAAGATGCTAAGAGTTCACCGTGACTTATGCAACTCAATTTGCCTCGTGGAACTAACACAAATATATCATTCATTAAGAGCACTATTCAAGTCATCGATATTGATCACAACCGACACTCTTATATACAAGCGAACTCTACCAAAATTCACACTCAAGCAATCAAGAAAGGGAAAGCAATAAATAACCACCAAACATTTATTACTAAGGCAACAAGGAGAAGAATCGACCAAAAATAACAATATATCCCAAAGACGAAATAAAACAAAATACATAGGGCGCTTGATGGAGTGGTCGGCAATGACAAAACACATAGTGGTAGATTTAGGATCACCTAGACCAAGTTTCTTGAAAATGGCATAGGGAATCAAGTTTATACTAGCCCCCAAATCACACAATGCTTTAGCAAATTGAAACATCCTGATAGTTGAAGGAATAGTAAATGCCCCCAGGTCTTCTTTCTTGATGCAACATTCCTTGACATAATGTCATTACAGCTATGGGATACCTCAATTGTCACGAAGGCCATACTTATCTTCTTTGTGACCAATTCTTTCATAAATTTTTCATAACCCGCCATTTCTAAAAACGACTCCACCAAAGGAAGATTAATGAAAAGAGTTTTGAAGATGGAAAGAAATTTTTTGCAGTGTAAACACTCAAGTAGAGAACATCCAATTTCACCATAATGGGGAAACTCTGGCTCGAATTGTGCATGTTTCACTAGAGGGGATTAGTACAGTGGATGGAAAGTCTCCAACAAAGATATTTTGGGTGTAAATAAGAAAACTTCCTACTTTTAGTTGGGTTGGGATTCAAAAGAAATATCTTCATGGTGAGTATCACTTCTCTTTGAGTTTGTCAACAAGGTGTTGTTGCCCCTATCCAAAAAAGAATTGTTTCCTCGGTTTTAAAATTGTTTCTTACTATAGCTCTGCACGCGCATGAGTTGATGAACCTTCTCGTCATCATGCTAGAATACATGCATATGACAATGACTTACAAAGACGGAAAGCATGGGTTGGGGTATGGGTACTTGCTAACCATGGTGTTCAAATACTTTGGCATTTCACTAGTCTATGGTATCAGAGGGATAGTGAAGCAGTCCATCTCTATGAACACTCGCATTGAGTGTGAGTGTGTCGAAGGAATAACTGTCAATAGGTGTGAGGTTTCAGAATTGTTGGATGAGCACTCTCAGCTCAAGCATAAGGTGGAATCCATGAGGGTCACCTTGGATAACAAAGATGTTGAGATTGCTCGCCTTAAGGTTTGGTTGCACTTGATTGAATCTGAGGTACCTGGTAGAGCCAGACTGGATGCCCAGCAAGATGAGGACAAAGCTCTTGCTAACAAAAACTCCGCACTTCAGGCATATCTTTTCCTCCAAGCGTTCCTCATCTTAACATGTCCTTTGTCTTTTCTATTGTCCTCTATGGGTGTTATCACGGTTCTTATGTTAAATAAGATTTGCAAGATTCTTGGATCATAGATTCAGGAGCTAGTGATCACATGACTGGAAGTTTTCGTTTTATCTCTACTTACACTCCTTGTGCAGGAAACAGTAAAATCAAGATAGTTGATGGTTCCTTCTCTGCATTTGTTGGAAAAGGAACTATTAAACTATCATCATCCCTTACACTTC